TCTCACTATACCCATTTATAATGCTTCGTAACTCACACCACCCATAATAAAACAATACCCATCAATCAATTATGGGGCCTCATCACCAAGAAGAACCCATCTTCTTTGTACAATGAACCTGGCCACAAATTGAGCTTGTACTCCATATTATTTTACTCCTATTATTTAGTGTGTTCCCCTTAGTCATGAAACAACTAAGCAATGATGCGTAGGTGTTATAGTGTGAACCTTGAACCTTTCTTTTTCTTTGTTCCCTTTTGAATATTTAATCAATTTCCCAACAAACTCCACCTTGATTAAATAATCAAAACTTTTGTAGTTTCACCTCACTTATCCCGTGAGATCATCGCTACCCCCAAAGAAAAAATTACCTTGGCTCCATCTCGATTTGTTCCTCAAGATCACCGCCAACCTCAAAGAAGAAAAAAATACCTCGCGGTTCCACCTCGATCAATCCACCGATATCACCACCACCATGGAAATATTTTTCCGTGAATCTATCTTGCTCCAAGTCCACAAGATCTCCACAACCATGTGTTGCCTTCGTGGCTCCACCTTGCTCAATACCGCAAGATCCCATGCCACTTTCAGTTGCCGTTGAAACCGTGACTCCACCACAACCGACCCCGTCAAGATCTTTGTCACTGCCTTAGCTCCTTAGAGTTTTAACCCTCCACCCCGAGCTATAAAAAAATAAAAAACTCACCTTTGTTAACACTCTTTGAGACCACCCTTCTAGCAATTAGCTTCTTTCGATTTGCCCATCTTGCACCGCCGCAGCAACACCTGCGGAACACGCCGCCCGACCTCTTCTTGCTGGGAAGACTTTCGACACAAGACATAAACCACAGTTTTTCAATCCGCTAGACCACTGATCTCCTGTTCCCGCACCATACTTCACAAAGCCAGCATGCTGCTTCGTACCCGGTCCTCATGCCATCCACTTTTTTTTTGAAGTCCCATGGTCGCCTTCTGGCCAAAACCGACCAGTCCCTGGGTTCTCAAAATTTCTCCTTTTACTGCTTACAAATCCCTCCTGCCCAGCGCAACCGAGCTCCGATACCAATTGTTGGGATTTTAAGCGCGTAAGATACCAAAAAATATTGAGAACACCAGAAAAATGAGAGAACAAACACAAGAAGAAAATATGAGAGAAAAAATTATATTTCCACTATTTCAGGACAATATACAAATACTCTCCCCTGTTTACAAGACTAAATTCCAGACACTTAAAAGCAGATCTTTCCACATCTTAAGACCGGATGTATTTTTCTGAGTAACTAAACCAGTTACTCTCTACACTCACCCACACTCATCAAGACCCCTTGGATTTCCCGGTGGTATTCTTGTGTAGAACCCTCTTCTCTCTCTTCCTTGGTGTGTAAAAGTGTAAAACACACACACACAAAGTTCTCACTATACCCATTTATAATGCTTCGTAACTCACACCACCCATAATAAAACAATACCCATCAATCAATTATGGGGCCTCATCACCAAGAAGAACCCATCTTCTTTGTACAATGAACCTGGCCACAAATTGAGCTTGTACTCCATATTATTTTACTCCTATTATTTAGTGTGTTCCCCTTAGTCATGAAACAACTAAGCAATGATGCGTAGGTGTTATAGTGTGAACCTTGCNAACACACACACACAAAGTTCTCACTATACCCATTTATAATGCTTCGTAACTCACACCACCCATAATAAAACAATACCCATCAATCAATTATGGGGCCTCATCACCAAGAAGAACCCATCTTCTTTGTACAATGAACCTGGCCACAAATTGAGCTTGTACTCCATATTATTTTACTCCTATTATTTAGTGTGTTCCCCTTAGTCATGAAACAACTAAGCAATGATGCGTAGGTGTTATAGTGTGAACCTTGCACCTTTCTTTTTCTTTGTTCCCTTTTGAATATTTAATCAATTTCCCAACAAACTCCGCCTTGATTAAATAATCAAAAATTTTGTAGCTTCACCTCACTTATCCCGTGAGATCATTGCTACCCCCAAAGAAAAAAGTCATGCGTAGGTGTTATAGTGTGAACCTTGAACCTTTCTTTTTCTTTGTTCCCTTTTGAATATTTAATCAATTTCCCAACACGTGCTGCTCTGTCGAGGCAGTGCTCCGATTGTTTGGGCTCGGAAGTCTCGGAGGAGTGCCATGTCGCTCTGGCTAACGTTGTGGTGCATGACATTCTCATGCAAGGACTTGGAGAACGTGTTCGTCACCTGGAACGAATCGAACTCCGAGTTCAAAATGAACAACGGCGATTCAATATACCGCACCAGGTTCTGCGGGAAGAAAAAGGCCTGCACGCCTATTCTCGAAGTGCACCGTCCAGGCAACGCATTATCTAGACGGTGCACACCCACAACGTTTCCGAAGACGTCGTTGAAGAACCTCGCCCGACGGGGTTCTCCTGTAAGTTCGTGGGGGCGCCGCGGAAATCACCAATCAAGAGTTATGCAAACAAATCAATCCACTATGCTGTAGAGAAGACGCTGGAGCACTGTCACAGTAACAGATGATGGACAATGTGCTATAATACTTCTTTGTCACAAGCACGCACACAGAAGCAGATGATGCAGGTAGCGTTACAGCGTCTACTGGGCAGAATTCTGTAACTATAAAATGCGTAAAAAATAACACCAGATATGTTTACGCAGTTCGGAGAACTCTCCTAGTCTGCGGGGCCCACGTCCGTGTAATAGCCCTCCACTAAATCACTAGATGCAAGTTACACCGGTACATAACAACATGATGAGACACCCTTCTCCGAATTGCTAGGACAAAACTTCTAATCTAGGATTTCTAACCCGAACTCTGTTCAGATACGCTTCGGCTATCACATCTCCACCGAGATCACAAGGACAAACGTGTTGGCATCCCTCTCCTTAAGCTCTAGTTCATCTTCTGGACGTCACGATCTGTTTGGCGTTGAAGATCTCCTCCTTCATGTAGATCGTGACCTTCTTCACGCATAGGAAGCTCCGGGACGCGATGGGAACGCCCTACATCAGCGTACATTCTTTGTTTTCCCTCTCAATCGCTCTAAGTAATTCCCAGGGACCTCCTGCGTTTTTATAGGCTTCTCTTAGCACAATCCTAGTAGGAATAGGATTGTAGAAGTTGGCGTGAACTCTACTTCCTTAATCTTGATCCAAAAGTAGCCTAAACAGTTGGGATTCCTTAGCATGTATAGTTGGAGTTATTATCATGTAATCACAATCCCAATAGGTCTCTAATTCAGATTGCAGTTTAAAATCCTGTGCTCAGACCTTTGATCCCGAATAGTGTGTTGCAGCATCGTGCTGTAGCATCTTCTGTGTCACTCTCGAAAACTGCAGCAAGTCTAGAAGTCTAAATAACATAAACCTCTCCTAACAAATAGAGGTTTCTACCTAGTAAAACACCTAACAAATATGGAATTCTATTTTGCCAAAAGATTAGCCAACACCATGGAACTAACATCTCCGACGTGGAGGAAGAGGGAACTGTCAGTGTGACACTTCTTCACCCTGACATTCCTCGAGAATAAGCGCCAGAACGTGTCAGAGTGCACCATGACCCCGAGCTCGCAGGAAGAACCCCCGGCAAGGAGGACATTCCAGGCATTTTTCAACCCCTTCGCCATCAGGTCCTCCACGACAGCGCGGAATATCCTTGCGCCACGGTAGTGAAGACCCGTGACAGGATCGGGCATGTCGGCGTCGCCAGAAAAGGATCCCGCATCACATGATCTCACCACCACCCGGTTCCAATCATAGAAAAACTATCATTGGACTGGGGAGAAAGAATGGGGTGGCTGGACAACTCAAAAGGTTCATGCGGCTGGAAGAACCAAGGTGGGTCTTTGCCCGTTCCGCACAGCTTTGGACGGCGCCATCGGGAGTGCGATAGGCGGAGGTGTTCAGGCACCAGCTCGAGCCCTGGAGGTAAACTAACCAATTGCTCGCCCCGTGGCTGCCTTTCCCGGCTTCCCAATCATAGGCGGGCGGGCTACCGTCAACGCAAACGACGCCTTGGGATACAACGGCGGGAAGGAGGTGAAGCTCGCAGGAGACATTGGTGGTTTGTTGGAGGAGGAACAACAGCACAACAGAAACAACTATGGTTGTCGGGAGTGGTGGAGAAAAAGACGGTTTGTTGGTTGATGTGAGAAGGGAAGCCATAACACTTTGATAAGGATAATAGAAAGAGATTTGGAAGATTTTAGACCTGTGCAAACAAGGGTCGGCCCGTTCGGCCCGCCCAACCTGCCCTTTAAAAAGGGCGGATATGGACAACCTTTAGTACCCAAATGGGCGGGTCTGCCCAAGCCCGAATTGTATATGGGCGGATCTGGAAGTTACTTTTAGCCCATCTAGGCCAACAGGCCCGCCCATATTCATCAAATATATTTACTTAATTATTAATTACCCGCCCATTTAAACATTTTTTAAAAATATTAAAAAAAATATATTTTGGCCTTTACAAAGACATTTTAAATTCCCTTTCTAAAAAGATAAAAAAATTATTTTGACTTTTAGAAATTCATTTTTAAAAAAATATTTTGTTTAGAAGAAATATTATGGGGAGGGTAACTTTTGTTACAATTTTTTTCTCTTCTCTCAATAACTTCTGTTTGTTTACGCGATTTCATTACGTATTGGATAAAATAAAATATTCTTATCACCTCTTATTTTGTAGAATTTTTGACATAATTTTTTAATATGTAATTTTTATTTCTTATCAATATACCAATTTATAAATAAAATAGTTTTAAAAGTGCAATATTTCTTATCGTAAACCCCAATTTGTAATCAAATTGGGACGGAGAGAGTAAAAAACAATAACTCTACATTCCCAACATCTCAAGTATAGAAGAATCTTCTATGGGGAAATTCCTTCAGTGAAATCGTTGTTGACTCCCCTCCTCCTAATCGAATGCCTGCTATGAATCCCAATCTTCTCCACATGTAAGTACTTCCCACTGAGGCTGAAGATTTCAACCCCCAAGTCGTATAATTCTTGGTCTCTGATCATCCAGCTCTTTTTCCTATGTAGCCAATTCCATTGCTGAATGGTTGTTTTAATTCCTTTTAGCGCTGTAGACATAGCAGGGCTATCTTCATTGTAGATTGCTGCAGTGTATATTTTCCATATGTTCCACGCTATAATACCATGTATAACCATTCTCAAGTTACCTCTTTGTGTCTTACTATTTGCTCTAAGACCCCATTCTAGGAAATGTTGTCTCAGTGTGATACCTTCTCTTGCTCTAGGTCCTTGTAGGAGGTTAGCAAAGAAGTTCCAAATGTCGATGCTGAAATCACAATGGAGAAGGGTATGGTTAACATTTGTTTCCCATGATTTGCAGAGTGGGCATTGTGAATGTAGGTGAAAGCCAATTTTGATGTATAGCTGTGGGAAAGGTAAGATGTCATGTAGGATTTTCCATTGGAATATTTTAACACTTGGGATTTGAAGCTTGTGCCATGCCAATTTGTAACTCAGTTGAGAATTCCCCGATTCCCTGCATGCATTGTATCCTTGTTTAAGTGTGAACTCTCCCCCATCCCACTGCATAACTCCATTATGCAAACCTGAGTGTTCCTCTGCTATATTTGTGACTCTACAAATTCTCTTCCAATTAGGGGAATCCCTTATTTTTTTCCCGGAATGAATTCCTCCTAAGATACTTGTCTCTTATGAATAAGGCCCATATATTATTGCCCGTCTGAGCCTTCCACCATATTCTTAGAGAGTAGGCCTTTTGCAGATCCTTGATATGTATGTATGTATGTATGTATGTATGTATGTGTGTGTGTGTGTGTGTGTATATATATATATATATATATATATTACATATCTTATAAATGTGTAGCACGGTTAGGTACCCTTAAAATAATGTGTAGATTTTCCGTCCAAAATACATGTACCCATTGGTTCTTTCGTTGTACGAAGCTTTTTTTTATCACAAACTACCCTTACGCCATTATTTCAATCGTTACTCGCTCGAAATCTCTTTCTCTTGCCCAACATCCTGTCTTCCCGATGAAATGGCCGTAATTGCCGCCAGTCCCTCAGCAAAGCAAAGGATTATGATTCTTGTGCGATTGTAATTGCCAGCATAATCATCCCTGGATTTCCGGATTTTCTCCGTTGCGTTACAGACCCTAGGCAATTACATGAATACACGGAATTCCTGGCGATGCAGCAGCAAACAAAATCGTAATAACAAGCTAATTCTAGCAAATATGCTTAGTCGCAGATTCGCCGGTATGAATGAAACTTTTTTCCCGATTCCTTATATTTATGGTACATTCCGTTAATAACCCCTGCCCAATTATTTCAGCATGGACGTTTTTATTTCAAAATCTTCTAAAGGGGCTATTTATATTCAATTTTATATTCAATTTTGAGAGATGGGATGAGGCACCATCTCCAAGAATCCTCCTAGGTATAATCTTATGAGTTATTTGGCTTGTTTTTCTTGTTCTTTGTTTCTATTATTGCAAGTCAAGATTCAAGAAGAATAATTTTGACCTAGAGGTACGGCTGAAGGTGCAACAGGTTAGAAGACCATTCTTCAGCTAATTTAAAATATATGGATTATTTTTACAGTTTAACAACCACAATTATATGCACAACTATTATTTTTAATCCTATGTATTTCTACTATTGCCTGCTATTGACATAAAGTACTCAGTAGTTTGATTATTTAGGATTATTTGCCTGTTATTGCCTTCTATTCGCCTGGTATTGCCTTCTAGGTATAGTTTGTGCCTTCACTTAATAAATTGCCATGCGTAAATGACATTATGTTTTAGGGTCCTTTTGGCTGGAGTAAAATGATTATTTAATTTGAATTAGATGCATTATTTTCAGTGTAACTACTATAATTTTATGCACAACTGTTATTTTTATATCCTATGTATTTCATACTTGATAATAGTCTTGAAAATAATACTGTTTATCATAATTTTGAATATCAAAAGACTGTTTTTATGCCCTATGTATTTTTTATATCCTATGTATTTCATACTTGATAACATTCTTGAAAATAATACTTGATACTATTTATCATAATTTTGACTGTTATTTTTATATCCTTGTAAGTTGATAACTGACAATCAGCAATTTATTATCAAGTATGAAATACATACTGTTGTGCATAGTTATTTCGATAGTTTTTATATTTTTTATGATATCAAGTATGAAATACATAGGATTCAAAAAACTGTTTGAATATCAAAAGACTGTTTACAAGTTATTTGGATAGTTTTTATACTGTTTATTTTCATACTGTTGTTTCTTTCTATTATTGAATTTAAATTAGATGCATTATTTTCAAGACTGTTATTTTCAAGACTTTTATTGTTATGCACAACTGTTATTTTTATATCTTATGTATACCAAAAATCTGAAATCGTATCATATGATAATGATCTACAAGGTTATTCAAATTATTAAAACTGTTTTTCATAAATAATTTTAGTTATGGAGACAAGAATGATCAGTGGAATAAATGACAACATAAAGGATTGGACATGTAAGGTCATAGTTGTGGAGAAACGGAACATCAAAGACTCAATGGCGAGCCCTAACAAGTACCGGCCTTTTATATTGCAAGATGAGGAGGTAAGTTTATAAAGCTTATAAAAGAATCAATCTTAAAGTGTACATATTACTTGTATTAATTATGTTCCATTCAACGTTTTCCACACAGGGTACCAAGGTTCTTGCTCTCGCAAATAGTGGTGACATTCAACAAATTGATAAGATACTCGACGTCAAAAACACGTATTACATAAGCAATGTTGCTGTCATGCCTAACAAGTATAGTGATCCCCCATCCACACACTATAATTACATTTGGATGTTGAGTAAAAACACTTGGATTGAGGCAGCCCCAAAATCAGAACAAATTCAAGCAACGAATGAGACAGACACAATCCTCACACCATTCTTTGACTTCTATGACTTATGCGGGTCAAAAACCCCCATTAGTATGTGAATTATATTAATTTTCATTAACATAATATGGAAAAGCGTAATGATGTGATATCTAAAATTTTAAATGTTTGCTGCATACAGATTTCATGGCCATTGTCATTCAGAGAATGCCCAGAGAGTATATCTCTATTCGTGGAGATGTCAAAAATGCACATGATTTCATGCTTGTAAACGAAGAGTAAGTATGACATAGTTATTCTAATTATTTAACATTGTGTATATCTAACATTTTCACTTTCATCTTTAAAAGAATGAAACCAGTTCTGTTAACTCTTTGGGAGGATTTCGCAACCAATCAAGGCCGAGATATAACATCCATTTTAGAGAGTGGGAGACACCCAATAATTTTGGGTAAAAGGGTGATCGTTACTCCCTTCAATGGTAATGTTTATTTATGAAAAACATATATTCATAACCACACAAAGCAGATCGTAGTAAGTATTGGGGAAACATGCACATGTACAGGTGTGTCACTCTCCACAAGATATGATTCTGCATTTGAAGTTAATCCTTCAGATCCCACGTGTAAGCGGTGGAAAAAATGGTAATACTATACTGTCATTTCAATAGCTATTACAAGAGATCACACACTTGTCAATTTATGTTGTATAAAATGCACTACTAGGAGGGATGAAAGCTTGAAGCTTATAAACAACTACATTGAAATAAAGGCATATAAAAATTCTTTGATAGCACTTGCTTACCCGCCTGGACGTGCGAAGGTCAAAATTGGCGACATTTCTACATCAAATTCTCCGGTATGGTTCACCCATTCAAATAAAATGACATTTATAAAATCCTTACAATTCTGTATCGAACAACATACAACTACCACGTTTAACCTTACGTTTAGGGTAAAGGGGTATGGGTTTCAGCTGATATCAAAATCCTTGACAATGAGGGCAGCTACTATATTGGATGTGATTATTGCAATCGGAAAACCACAGCACCAGAAGGAGTTACTTTCACATGTTTGGAATGTGGGAATTTGTCAGCCAGGAGTGAGAAAAGGTTACTTTAAGAGCAATATTTTTTTTCATAACATGAAGTACGTAGTATATTTAATTTTGGATAAAAATATCTACATACCTTACATGAACAAAATCCAAGTCCAATTGAGTGATGAGACTGGTGAAATAGAGGCAACAATGTTTGACGAAGATTTCAAGAGGTTGTTATCCATTTCCAACACCATTCACCGTTCAGGAGCAATAGACATTAGCGAAATTCAAAAGAAGATAAATCGTATCACATTTGCTTGTGAATTGAGGTTTGATAACAAAAAGTTTGAAGGGCCAAATAGGAGGAATTGCACAGTGAATGGGTTGTGTGAAGATATTGTATTCCCTGAGCGCATTATGAGTGCCGAAAAGGAAAGGGAAAGAAGTGGTGAAGGACCAACCCGGTAACGGCTGACATTTGATGAGAATGATGCAGAACATGAAGACGTTGTGCATGCTCTGCCAGGAGAAGAAACAGCCCCAGAGAATTCAGCGAAAAAACCAAAAAAATAGAATTATGTGGTTGCTATATTTATTCTTAAAATAGTTTTCAGCATTTTTTAAAGACTATGTTGAGAGTACTGAGTACTTTTTCCCTTTACCATTATTTCCAATTAAACTTTTTGTATTTGGATGATATTATTTTTAATTTGGTGTATACCATCAACATTTTGAATGGTAGTTGATGTTACGTATTTATTTCTTCACTTAAAACTCTGAAAGTTTACTCTATCAAGGAATAAAAGGGTTATATATTGTACCAGCCTCTTTCATGTTACATATGAAAAGGGATCTTACATTTTTGTATTCATTAAATAAAGTTCAGTATATGAAAGATATAGAATTTCTTGTGACTTGCAATATTCACAGATACTATTGTTTTTCCTACACTTTACAGGGAAATTATAATCTTCTCTATATATGAGAGAGATCATCTACTGCTATTTGTTTTTCCAACTCCACCTGCTAAATAACACAATGTCTTCACATCAATGGTGAGAATGCCAGAGCTTACACGACATGCATTTTGAATTCTTTATATCCTGCAGGTTGAACTATTACTGTTCTCATTATCACAAAATTAATATGAAAAGAGATTTCTGTAGCTGCGCATCGTACATAATTAATATATTCAATAATGTTTGTGATGCAGGGTCGAGTTGGCTGTAGTGTTCATGTATTCCAGGTGATGAAGCCCTAAGAATCTGGAAACTTTTACGAACCCCTAAAACGGTGAAAAAGGTTTCCAAGTTTAACCCGTAGCCATTTGCTAATGTAAAACAATTTCGTTGATGCCTCACGAGTAGGGAGTAATATTTTTTCTTCCTACTTTACGTGTTGAAGGCTTTGAAGAAAAGATTTCAAATAAACTTATACGTTCATTTCGTTCCAGTTATGCTAAATGCTTTATGTCTAAGAAAAATGGTCCATTTATTATATGACTATTTGCCTCTGACCGTTGTTCGCTTTTTACTGCAGATAATGGTTGCTCTATCCAAACCATTGCAAAGGTACACAGTTAGCAAATTATGACACGAGTAAACTGCTACAAATATAAAACAAGTGGCCCCATCATAAGGTACATGTTTATTCTACACATAAGGTTAGAAATATATGAAAGTCTTTCAAAATTAATTTATTGGTGTATGACTGCGAACATCAGCGTCATATTGTAGTACCTTATCAACATTGTAGTACTCATGTAATGTAGTTTGAAATCCTACAAGATGATTTCTAGAGAAGTTTAAATAAGTGAGGTGATCATTTATACGTGTATAGAAATGGAATGTGCAATACGTTATTTCAGCTTGATCATTCTTACTGAATATGTTATCATTAAGAAGTTTAACAATCATTGTTGTCTTTAAAATTTAACATTTCGAATTTAAAATTAAGAATTTGAATCTCTTTTACATTAATTAATTTTTCCCATAGAGATCTGGATATTTCAATTAAAAATAAATGCTTGCAATCATTGCAATATTACACCTATATTACCCACATTTACTCTACTTAAATGTGAGGTTTGAATTTCCCTAAGGAAAATGCTAAAAACCCCTCACCCTTGCTACCACCCATGCCCCCCTACATAAACATGTGGTAGGGAGGCAAGAAAATTAAAATTAGAGGGTGGGTAGAGAATGGGTAGAGATAAATATGTAGTGGAGAAATGAGTGGAGACAAGGTTGGTAGAAAGGGTGGGGTGTGTAGGATGGTCATTTCCCCAATTTGAAATGTTGTGAACATTTTAAATGCTGCCTATTATTACATTTAAAAAGCCTATCACCTGCCTATAAAAGCATACACCCATGAATTCTTGAATCCTATAAAAGCCTATAGGATTCTCGCACGCTGGGCAGCAACTCGAGTTACTGTTCACTGGCGATGCTAATCCTTGCTTTCACCATGAATTTCTTGATGTTTTGCTGCGATTCTTTGAGCTCTAGGATCGCTTGAGGCTTGGGAATCCATTCTTGAGCTCAATTTCATGATTCCGCTGCTGGATTGGGGGATAATCGCAGGTCAACTCTCGCGTGCTACTGTTCATCGGCGGCACTTGCAGGTTGAATTCACCTCGGTTTAGGCCCTCTTCAAGGCAAATTTTTGGGGGATTATGAGCGACATGGGATGCTCTTTCATGACCATCAATTGGATTTTCATTCCATTTGAAGGAACCTGCGATTTGAGCAAATTTGGGACTTCGTGGTACTGTTCACAGCGCTGCCTTCATGTCCAGGTTTAACCATGTTTCCGGCTCATTTTGTCCCCCATTTTTTGGTATTGGGATCGTGATTCAGGGGCCATTAATCATCTGTTGTTGGATTTTTTATTCATATAACTGAATTTGGTCACCTTGATTTTTGGATGCTCGAGTTACTGTTCATGTTCTTCGTTTTTTCCCCTGCGGCTGTGCTTCACTGGTCTGTTATGGTGCTGGTTTTGTCATGCTGTTTGGGATAGCTGAATGTGCAGTCTACTTGAACCTTTTCAGGCCTCTCCTTGGGTGAGACCGTGGCTTTGGTTATGTTGAATCCCCGGGGCTATAGCTGTTTTGACGTGGGTCTTTTGAGGACGTCTTTGGGTGGATAAGTGTGTTCTTGGACCATTCACATGCTAGGGCTGCCTGAAGGTCCATTTGCTTGGACCATTGGTGAGCCATGAACTGGCCTTCTCTCATTCAGTTTGGAGTCGATGAACACCTTGGGAGGGATACTAAACATTCTCTCTGCCTCTCGACTGGTTGGGAGGCCATTGTGAATCTGCGATTCCAATGTTCAACACCATAGAGGGAAGGGTACGTTGGCACCCCCCCTGGTGTGATAGTTGAGTTATGTTGGCAACTCCTTTACCCATGTGTGTGATTTGATACCGGACTGGGTGTTTTTCAAGTGCTTTATGACTTCGGGCCTGGTCCACTAGAGTTTCTTGAGCCATCTGCTATTGCCGTCTCTGTTTCTGATTCGGTTGAGTTTACTCTAGCACTTTGGCCTTTGATGAACTCGTGGACATGGGTCATGGCATCTCTTTCGTGAGGGTGAACTTGTTGATCCTACACGTGTTGAGGACTTGTCGTTGTAGTGGCAACAATGACGCAAATGAACCCTTAGGTTTGGTGTCTTGATGTTTCATAAGGCCCTCCGATGGTGCTTCACCTTTGGAGTTTTGACGAGGAAAGAACTTCCTTTTGATAATCTTTTGAGGTTGACGATCCATGATGACGAGGACAAGCCTGGTGATGGTGCTGATCATGTCTCTGTGTGATGTACTTTTCTCTTGTGCTTGTTTCTTTAGTTTTGTTGATTGGGCGTGCGTGCCTTTGGCGTGTGTGCCATTCTTTATTTTTGATTTATAGGGGTATGCCCCGATGCATTGTATGTTTACTTCGTGGATGTACATTGTATTGACTCTCGGATATTAATAATTTACATTTTATCCTTGAATCATATTCTGCATAGCACCCACAATTTACACATGCGTTGTTCTGTTTATTTACTTGTCTGGATTCTATGTTTCTTTAGTTCTCTCAATTCAACATCACATCCAATCCCTTGCTATCAACTGAAATTCTTAATTCAAGTCTTGCCAACAAATTGCTGGTTGTCAGTTATCATCTTTTGCACTGGTATTGATAGGAAGTTCGTGGCCTCTTAATACGAAGTTTCTGGCACCCTACAATTTGTACCAGGTACGCCCTTCTTCATGACTCCCTCTTTTAAATGAATCTTTTTGGTGAATTTCTAATAATCATTAACTATTGGAAAAGGGGAAAATGATTTTTGGAAATCATTTCTATAAGTGTTTTGTTGTTGGCCTAAATTGGATATTGTGAGTCAAAGGAAAACAAGTTGTTTCAACAAGGAAAATAAGGCCATTAAAACCTGATTCTGCCGTCCACGTTATTTAGGCTGAAATCATTTTCCCCTTCCAAGGTAACATCTTCTCCTCTTCTTTCACTGCAATTTTCTCCTCCCCCTCTCGGTTCTTCTCTTCTTCCACTTTCACTTTTTCTCTTCTTTTCTCCATCTTCTTTGCAGACCTCTCTTTCTTTTTCTTTTCTTCCTCTTGGTTTTTCTCTTCTTACCCTCTCTTTCTTCTTCTTCCCTTACCTCTTTCTTTTCTTCTTATTCTTCTTTTCTGACCTCTTTTTCTTTTCTTCTTCTTCTTCTTCTTCTTCTTCTTCTTCTTCTTCTTCTTCTTCTTCTTCTTCTTCTTCTTCTTATTCTGCTTCTTCCCCAGCCCTCTTGCTTCTTCTATGCATCTTCGATGGGTCTCGATCTAGGTTGGAAAAATACATATGCCTTGTTCCTTATATGACTTCACACATTAGGATCATACTTCAGTATGTATGTTAAGTGTACATTCTTCTAGCGTGCTTAATGTTGTTTTCGGTTAAAACTATAGTTTAAATTATGACACAGACACTTTAGAACAATATTTATGTACCTGAATATACACAGCATCAAACACCTTATTCATGTGTTGGGATTCTGTTTCCTTGTTTAGAGAACTAGGCTGACTTTGGGGTTTGTTTTAGGGTAGGTATGGTTTTGGCTTCTGCATATGGGATATGTTTTGAGGTGAGAGTTTTTGTGTACAGTATGAGTTGCGTTATGACTTTTTGGCAGATCTGGAAACCTAATGTAAATTTTATATTCTCACATCTGTTACAAAATCTAAAAACCTTTGTGAGTTGGTTTTCCGTGGACTTCTCTATTGCAAATTCTAAAAACCTTTTCCAGTTTGAGATGCTTAAATTTTAAGTATTTTTGTATTACATACTAATTTTTATTATAACATACTGTAGTTCAACCAACATTGTCAATCAATATCCTCTCAACAACCAACCTGCGATACCTAATGTTTAAAGTAAACTTATGCTTCAAACACCAACCTAAACTCTAAACCCAAGTCAAAACCCAACCTAGACTGTATGCTAAAACCAACCTCAAGCACCAGTCCCAAACAAAAAAAAGCAAAACCCAACCCACAACCTAGCCTAAAAGCAAACCCAAAATCAAAATCCCAACCCACAACCTTACCAAAAAACCCAAATGTAGAACCAAAAACCAAGTAACCAGACCTAGAAAAATTAAAATCCAATCCATAACTTTCATTGTCACTAAATATCGTCCCAAACAACTACCTGTTATATGTAATGGAAAAACTAAAATCATGGACCGAACCCCAAAACCCAAAGGTTAAAACCCAACCTAAAGTTTATCATAAAACCAACCACAAAAACCAGTCCCAAAAAAAAAACATAAACCCAACCCACAATCTACCCTAAAAGCAGTCCCAATATCACGCCTTAACACCAAACCAAAACACAAAATCCCAACCCAAAACCTAACCAAAAAACCTACATCTAGAACCTAATCCCAAGTAACCACACGTACAACCCAACATGTGTTAATCATATCTTCATTAAACTGGATTTCTCTCTCTATTTCTTAGTAACATTTTTGTTTCTTTTGGTGTCTATGTTTTTTATTTAACAATGCTTTTATGGAAATTAAATGTTAATATTTACTGGGCAATCAAAGTTAATAGTAAAACTGTGAAAAGTAAAAAAGGAAATACTTATGAAAAAACCACTGCCAATGTTCGTATTCAGTGGTACGGTGTATGGCACTACTTATTATATTTAAGATTTTGGGTGAGACGTAGGGTCAGTTTTACGGACAGGGATTTCGTGTTTACTATCGGGGTATTGATTATGATCTTTAGTGCTGGTTTTTGGTTATGCATGCTATAATTTATCTTACACTATATTTCATATTCCCCCTATATCTTAAAAACAAAGAAATAGACATGAGATATGAAACAATAGGTATAAAGTTAAGAACACACTAACAAGTAACATATAAATAACATAACATTTGTGATGTGTTTGGCTTTAGATAAAGTAATAACCAAATATCAGGGGTACTGCTCTAAGGAATTTAAAACTCAAAAACAATTTAAATTCATACTTTTAAATAAGGAGTAAACTATGCATACATTTTCAAACTATAACAAGGCATAAAAATCATTCTGGGCAGAATGATCAAACAACTTGTTTTCATTTGAATGGATATAACAAAACAACTAACAATCTGTTCGTTAAATCTAAATTCTTCCTTATATCATTTCACCCATTAAGAGCATAGTTCAGTATGTATGCAAAATGCGCATTCTTCCAGCATAGTTAATGTTCTATCTTGTTAAAAACTATAGTTTAAAAAAACACTGACACTTTAACACAAGATACATCTACCTGAGTATTCTTAGCATGAAATATCATGGGGTAGTGTTCTAAGGAATGCCCTGGTCTGGACCATTCCTCAAATGAGGTTTTCACCGGATCCCTATCCATCAAAATTTTGCCTTCCATTCATCCTCTTTTCTTTATGGATCACACATACAACGACACTTGCTAAGACTCATAAATTTTGCGTAAATTTTTTTATTAATTTGAGCAGTTCTGATTTGGAAAATGTTGTGAAAGAAGTATTCAAATCTATTATGACATATACCTTTGCTGCTACAATCTGATAAGCTTAGAAGAGGCGCCCTTTACTCATACAAGTCATTTTTCCCCTCAAACACTTTTCAATGAGATGATAAACATGATACAACCTGGAATCACTTATTTTCAACTACTTATCGCCTTAGGATGATTGTTCAGTATGTATGGTAAATGTCATTTGGGTTTGGTTTTTATTCTTATAATGGGTTTTAAGTATTGTATATGGCACTTTCTCTTAGACCTGCTTCTTGAGGTTTATTTTCAGGTAGATTATGAGCTCATTTTTAAGTTTTTGGATGACACTTAAGGTCAGGCTTACGGTCAAGGAAAGGGTGTTTAGTATATGGCTTTTGATTATGGTGTTTAGGCCTGGTTTTTGGTTATGCATGCTACAATTCCTTTTACACTTTATTTAATATTACCAGTATATCTCAAAAACAAACATATATACATGAAATATGAAAAAATAGGTAAAAACTAAAAAAACAAAAAAAATAGAAAAATTGTTCTATGGTAGGCTTTACATGCTGTAATAACCAAATATAAGGGGCACTGCTCTGAGGAACAGTAATAACTGTAATTCATACTTTTAAAAAAGATGAAAACTCTCGCATAATTATTTTTTAGAGTTTATTTGTTATTGCCACTATATGTCAAACAGCAATAGTTTTACACTTTATTTGTTATTGCCCATATGAATAAAATTAATTCCCTACATACCTATTTCATTTATGAAATGAATAAACAAATAGTATTGCAGGTAAATTTTGCAATTCAAAAACACACCATACAATCATGGAGACTCGGAGCCAGCGGTCTCGACGTGAAATATTGGATCAGCATAACTTCAGGAGGAGATTGGCTTTCAATGAGAAAGCGAAACAGCAAGAAGCTGCATCAGCCCAACAACCACAACAAGTTGGTGTAAAGAGACCTCGCGGACGACCAAGAGGCAAAATCACAGAAAATAAAGGTTCGTCTTATACTTTGCATACAACTAAATCACATCGAATAACATTAACAGAATTGCAAAATCTATAAATATATCTTACATATATATATGTATCAGGAACATCATCAGAAACAAGTCACCCACCAAATACAAGAGAAATGGATGACCCCTACATAAACATAAATTTTATCCCTCCATACAAATTACAATTCAAGGATGATTGCACCTATTACGGAGCACGCCGATACTGCTATGAGCCACCAACATTTTGCTGCGCCAAAGGTCAAATTGTACTTGCAAATCAAGAAACACCAGTACCATTACGCAATCTATTTTGTGCAGCCGATGATCTATCAAAACATTTCCAAGTGTGCGTGAGAACATACAACAACACTTTTGCTTTCACTTCGATGGGAATTCATAATTATGCAACAGACTTGTGTCGCCGAAATAAGGGCATCTACACATTCAAAGTGCAAGGACAAATATACCATTTCATCAATGACATGCTTCCAGATGGTTGCCCTCTGAGAAATTTGCAGTTGTACTTCTATGATACAGAAACAATCTCACAAGAAACCATGGCCTACCATGGGACAAGGCTGGACAAGGAAGTAATAGATGTAATTCTCAGTACTCTTGCAGAAAACCCCTATGCAAAATTCTTCCACAATTTGAGGTATATGAACACAGCAGAAGAATTTAGCGTTATTCTTAAAAAAAATCCCACCCTTGACCAAAGAGTATACAACATGCCCACCGCATCACAGGTTGCAGCCATTTGGGTAGAAGACGATGGGAATGGGGTAAGTGAAAACAGGCACATTCGAGTCTATGCAAAAGGCGGCCAATCACAAACCATTCAATATTATTATGGATGTTATGACCCTCTTCAATATCCCCTACTGTTCCCCCATGGTGAAACAGGTTGGCATGAAGGCATTGAGAAAAGAAACACAGGGCAAACACTAATGACAAATGAAGCTACTGCCCACATAAATATTACATCAAATACAATTGGAAGTGCAACAGATCTAATAGAGGCAGAAGAAGAGCAGTTTACAGAAGGTCTACAGAAGAAAAACAGAGTATCATCCCGAGAATACTATGCATACAAGCTACAAATGCGACCATTGAATGAGACATTCTTACTCCATACAGGAAGGCTACTACAACAATTTGTAGTTGATATGTATGTGAAATTGGAAACACAACGCTTGGACTACTTCAGACAAAAGCAAACAAACCAACGAACATCTACACTAAATGATTTGGAACAAAGCATAGAGATGGGAATACAATTTGGAGCTGATGTTGGAAAACGGATTGTGCTACCAGTAACTTTCATTTGTGGCCCACGAAATATGCGACGGAGGTACATGGATGCCATGGAACTTGTACAACGATTTGGGAAACCAGACTTATTCCTAACAATCACATGCGACCCAAACTGGCCAGAAATAAAAGAGTCATTATGCTACGCAGATGAAGTTCAAAATAGGCCAGATTTGATAGCACGGATTTTAAATGGCCGAATCCATGAACTGAAAATAGATCTGTTCCAAAGAAAAATATATGGGGAGGTATCAGCTTACACGTATGTCATAGAGTTCCAAAAAAGGGGATCGCTTCATGCCCACTTCCTTATAGTGCTGAAGAAACACAACAAAATTATTTCTCCAACTCAATGTGACAAAATCATATCCTCAGAGATACCTAACCCTGGCCAATATCCAGAACTGTATTTAAAGGTCAAGAAGCATATGATTCATGGCCCATGTGGCCCCCTCAATCCAAAATGCAGTTGCATGACTCAAAAAAATCCAAATCAGCCACCGCGATGCAAAAGTAAATACCCTAAAAAAATAACCGAAGAAACAAGTTTTGATGAAGATTGTTTTCCCATATACCGCAGGAGACTAACCACAAACACTGTTGATGTGAGGAACTGTTCTCTAGACAATCGTTGGGTGGTTCCCTACAGTCCATTCCTACTCATGAAATATGATTGCCATGTAAATCTTGAAGTATGTGCAACTGTGAAGTCGGTGAAATATCTGTACAAATACATATACAAAGGCCATGATAGAATTGGGTTCAACATTGAACCAAATCAGAATGAGGTCATGGACGAAATAGCAAATTTTCAAAAAGGTCGATGGGTTTCACCACCGGAGACAATGTGGAGACTTTATGGCTTCACGCTAACAGAGATTAAGCCATCAGTAATACATTTTCCAGTCCACATCCCAAACCACCAATACATCAGCTTCTATAAAAATCAAAGAATAAGACAAATAGTGGCCGGCGACACATCCAGCAGAACCATGCTCACCCAGTTCTTCCATATGAACGCCCATAACGACCTTGCAAGACAAATGAAATTGCCTTATATACAATTCCCAAAATATTTTGTTTGGCACAGCCAACAAAAACAATGGGCACTGAGAAAAAGCAAAGACGTCATTGGAAGGATATCATCAGTTAACCCTGTAGAAGGAGAACGATACTACCTGCGCATGCTACTACAACATACGCGCTGCCCAACATCCTACGAAGACCTCCTAATGGTGAACGATCAAAAGTGCACCACGTTCAGGGATGCAGCAGAGAAACATGGGTTGCTTGTACATGATACCTGCATTGAAGAATGCATGACAGAAGCCATCTCCTACCAAATGCCATCAAGTCTACGACGCCTATTTGCAACATTATTATTACATTGCGATGTTCCAAACCCAAAGAAAACATGGGAACATTTTAAAGTCGACATGTGTCAAGATATCACAAAGGATTCAAGCATAAACATAGCAGACGCAGAAAAAGCATGCCTCAAAATCATATCTGATTACTTGTACAGCATGGGAAAAAACATAGACGACTATGTGTTGGTATCATACAAAATAAACACCTCCCAACAAGATCGAATTACACGTGAAGTTGCATCAGAATACAATATAGCAGTAAAAGATGCCGACATTGAAGCTATTGCTCTATTAAACAAAGGACAGAAAAAGGCATTTGATGAAATAATGAAAGCAGTCAACGAAAACACTGGGAAAGTCTTTTTTGTCGATGGACCTGGAGGCACAGGAAAAAGTTTCTTATACAAATGCCTCCTTGCATCGGTAAGAATGCGCAAATGGGTTGCTTTAGAAACTGCAAGCTCGGGTATTGCAGCATCTATCTTACCAGGTGGACGAACAGCACATTCTCGTTTTAAGATACCCATAGATGGCCAAGACTCCACAACTTCCAACATAGGAAAACATACGGCTGAGGCAAGACTACTGAAGGAATCAAGGCTAATAATTTGGGATGAGATCACATTGGCACATAAACGATCAATGGAGTGTGTGGATGAACTCTTATAGGATATCATGGGAACAAGCGATCTATTTGGCGGAAAAGTTATTGTATTTGGAGGCGATTTAAGACAAACCTTACCCGTCGTCAAAAGAGGAACGAAAGAGGACATTATATCAGCTTCGATAATTACATCTCAAAAAATTTGGACAAATGTTCACAGGATAACATTGACACAGAACATGCGGGCTAATGATGATCCAGCATTCTCTGAATTTCTCCTACGGGTTGGAAATGACACTATCCCAAAAATCAACAAGAACAAAATACGCCTGCCCACTCCTTTCTTGATAAGCCGACAAAATAACAAAGCTGCATTATCAACACTAATGAATGAGGTATTCCCAGACCTGAAGAACTTCTTCACCCATCCGTATGAAAACTTGAAAAATGGCATTTTGACGCCAAAGAATCAAACTGTGGATGACATCAACTCCACCCTCATAGAAGCTTTCCCAGGAACAACATCATGCTCTTATAGTATAGACACCCCAACAGACAACAAGTTTTTACATTGTGAAGACTATTTGCACTCAATCACCCCAAACGGCCTTCCACCCCACAGGTTACTCTTGAAAATTGGATGCCCCATAATGTTGTTAAGAAACTTAAACCCATCAAAAGGTCTATGTAACGGGACACGACTCATTTGTAACGAAATTCACCACCATGTAATCAGTTGCACTATAGCCGTTGGTGACAAAACAGGCCAGCATGTATTCATACCTAAGATACCCCTTGAGATATCTTCTGACGATGATTGCCCAATTGCATTTAAGAGATTTCAATTCCCACTTAAACTATGCTTTGCCATGACCACAAACAAAGCACAAGGACAAACAATGCACAACGTAGGCATCTACTTAAAAGAACTTGTTTTCAGCCATGGCCAACTTTATGTCGCATTATCAAGAGCACAAAAAGGTTCAAACGTGAGGATCCTCATTTGTGATGAAGAGCAGCAGGACAAATTTACTTCAACAACAGACAACATAGTATACAACGAAATCCTCCAACACATTGACATAAACGGTAACAACATGCACATGCACCATTGAACACACGTAAAAAAACACAAAAACAAAAGACACAAAATACTCCACAAGACCATTAACGTTTCCCTATTTCAGGTACTCCTGCTCCACAGGACCACTAGACGCATACTACCCAATAAATCAGGTATTAAAAACATTATGAATTCCACAGTAGCAACAACCAATGAAAAAAATAATATAACAAACATTTTTGATATGCAACGTTTTTGTGGTTTAACTTCATTTTAATGATTAACAGGTTGCTATTCCAATGTATACTCAATTACTAGGTGATTTAGATCAAAATGTTCTCTGATTCCCAGACATGTAAACTGCTCTTTTGGTCATTCACAAATTCATAAACTATTACTGCTTGTGTACTCTGAAAATTGATACCCTGAAGAAACAAGTAATCTGTTCTACAACCTTTTTATAGTTTAACTTCCTAAAATTCCTTAGTACATTGCTATTTTAAACAATACTAGACTAATTATCTATGAAGTATAAAAAACTTTCCATCATTTCAGATGTCCCCAATTCTTAGCGAAGAATCAACATAACAATTCAACTGGATTTTCTGCTACAAATTATTGCAGATTTCCTGGTAAGTTTTTGGGAATTATTTACGTTTTTCATATTCGGTTTCATGATCACTGCCTTATTACCACAGACGAATTCACTGCCTTATCCTCAGTACCATACACATTTAAAAAAGACTAAATACTTTTACAAAACATAAAAACATGTTTTTTAATAAAGCAACTCTCTGGATTGAATGATGATTCTATTAAAAGTGAAGGACAAAAGGCAAGCCACAACAAATGGGATTCGACCAATTGCTACACCTCACACCTCATGATTTCTTCCACCCTTCATCTCATATCAAAACATTCTTCGTTTCCCATTTATCACTATTTTTATTGTGCTTAATTAGTCAACAAAAGGCGACACTCATTTTAATTTAGATATGAATATGCACCTCTTCAATGAATGGAATGTCGATGAATTGTCTACCCATACCTGAGGTGCTGAGGTGTCAACTGAAACACGCATTAGCACGTGATGATGTACTATACAGGGCTGGAGCAGTTTAGAAACCTGGTGCTATAATGTCCTTCAAGGTAGTCTTCCACCCATCGCATTATGCCACATTTGAACTTTGTACACGTCAATCTTCCTTAAATTTAATGATGTAGCAAACAACTTTATGCTTTTCAGGTTGTCATTGGTCAACATTTTGTTCTTCCTTCGTACTCAAAGGTGTCTTTACTCCAGCAACCAAATATATAAGATACTGATCTCTAGCTCTATTCTTTTGTCCAAAGCATCATAACTGAAAAATATGATTTAAACACTATTTACCTGGGATCTGCCTTGTGAAAGTGACTCATTTCTAGCTTTTAATTCTATCTTAACATAAGAATTAATGTCTGATCTCTTTCCAAATTACACATGGTAATTCATAAGATGCTACCAGGTGACTCTTTTCTTTTCAGTTTATGTGTGCTTATCTTTGTATGTGGCAAAACTGGTATGGATTTGTTATGGATGTATTTACAGGAACTATTTGATTTTTTTTCCATTTTGGCAGATTTTCTCTTCATATAATTTCGTCTGTGTAGCGATTAAGAGTCCAAAAAAGGTGGAACTTTGCGCTGTGGTGGGCTGTTTTGAGCCAATTTTGTTACTTTATACGCTGGTTGCTAAGATTGTCGTGATGGAGCAAGGTACAACTTCAAACTCATACTTAAATTGAATCCAAATTTGTTGTGGTGGGTTTTAAGATTAGTTTAGAAACTCTCCTTTATGGTTATTCCCTTTGTCCCAAAAAAAGGCCAACATAATGACTTTTTGAGGAAAAAACAAAATTAAATTAATTTTATTACCAATTTCTTCAAAAAAAAAAATGAAATATGTAACATAACTTGGTTACTGACTTAGAAACGTACTATTTTTAACTTGCCCCTTGTTTACTTCTCCATTGATGCAGCCTACCTTCAAATATATTATATCAGGAAGTCAAAAGAAGACTTCTATACGCGTCAATTAACAAGTAATGATCTCATCCTTCATTTTTCATCTCTCCTAAAGCCTTCTTTAAAACACTGCAGACTTATGATCCCTAAACTAAATTTATTGCAAAAAATGTTCAGTCAAAGCATTCAAGCTATAACAGCACAAGTTTGAGCTACAGCTCTTCCGCCAATGTTACTGATGTAGTAATATAAGAACTTCAAGGCCACGTCAAGTGCAGTTTCTTATAAAGAGAGAGCAACAAAATGTACAATGTAATTTTTTAAACTCTTGATAATTTGATACTATGTACACTAACATGCACAAGTTGAAAATCAATATCACAATGAGATTTTCACTTCTTTTATTACTTCCAAAAATTTTGAATTCTATTCACTACATCTTGTGTACACATAATATGCATAAGTACTAATTTCTTTTCACCTTGCAATTACCACTAATCATAAATATATATGCATTTCATTATTTTAAATTCAACCCTGTTCTCTCTTTTAGTCCGTATATTTGTTACACTATCCTTTATCCAATTGATAACTTGGGTTTGGGTTAATATTTTTATTCTTTTTTTGGTATTTTTAATATTTTTAGTTGTTTAGCTTAGTTTTATTTTAATTCTCATTTTTACAATCTTTTAATTTTCTTTCAAAAATAGTAGTTTTTTTAATCATTTTTTTACATTATATTATTTCATTTTATTTTTCCCTAACCCAAAATTATCAGATATCTTATTTTTTGGAGAAAAATATAGCAGAAGGCCAAAAATGCAGTTCAAGTTTGGAAAGAAGATATTGATTTTGGGCCAAAGCCCAAATCAAACATAATAGAGAATCAGCCCACCAATCTTCTCCCTCCTTAGTTTCACGCAAGAATGAAAAGAGATGCCAGCGGCTCCTTCTTATTCGACTTCTTCTTCAACGGTGATGGAAGACCCGCTCCAAATCAAAGCTCCAATGTTCGGCCTAAAATCTCGCCCCTCATTCAAGTCTCTAACGGATATATATTTCTTGCTATAAATTGGCGATGAGTTGAAGCTTCAAAGGGGGGAACAACAGAGGAGGCATCGCACCAAACAAGAAAGAGAGCAGCGGCTTTGGCCGCTGCAATTAACGCCACCGGAGAAGAAAGCAGACGGCGGCCGACCACGGCTCGCTGGCGTTCGACGATGGTCGGCGGTGATAGGTGTGGCAGTTCCTTCAAGCTCCAATTTTCTTCAATTTCTTCATCTTCTTCCTCTAATTGGTAACCCTATATTTGTCAATTTCTTTTTCTTCTCCAATTTCTTTGTAAAAGGGTTGTTTCAATTCAAATTTACATTTTTTCCCTTGTTTGTGTTAATTTCGAAAATTCCAAAATGGTTGGTGTTCTTTTATGGGTTTTTCATGTTATATTAAATCCCTTATGAATGAAAATGGATTCTTACTAGTTTCTTCAATTTTTTGCGCAAATTGATGTTAAATTGGTTGAATTATAAATTTGATTTCATAAGTAGGTTGGTATGTTGAACTTGGTTATCATTGAAGCTAATTTAGCTACATATTTTAGTTAAGTGATTCTCGAATTCATACGTGAATCTTTTTTGTGACTTGTGTTTTGTAAAATTATAAGGTAAATGAACTTCTTAGCCACATAAGTTGAACGTTTTCCTTAAGATTCATTATAGAGTGATTGTTTTTTGTCTTGGTGTTCTTGTTTGTTATTTTCATAAAAATTGGGATTGTTTAAGCGTAATAAACAACTCTTGATTTAATGAAAATATGTAATGTTCTTTATGTGAATAGACTAAAATTCTTATGCTTGAGTTGTTCAAGGAGACCTGCAAAATATTTTCATCATTAGACGTTAAAGTTTATTAAAGTGTATCAAATGTTCTTCATGAATACTTTGTGCATGGGAGTTAGAATGAAAGAAAGATTCGCTCTTTTATAAACTTTTTCATCTTTTGGAATCATTGTTTGAGCGCTTGAGGTGAGTGGGGGTTCAAAGTAACCAAAATGCCTTTGAATTTTTGACTTCGGGCCTTATAGAGAGTTGACGATCCTCTATATGTGGTCAAGGATATGAATCAACTCGAGCCTTTGAATTATTTTCTATTCTTAAGTGCGTAAGTTACGTAATATATTGTCTACATGCCTATTATACGTGTAATGTTCTATTTGTGTTCGTTCTCTTTTTAATTTTGTTTCGGGTTCTTGGCGGTGTTTCTTGGGTTACCTTTGTTGGAGAAGTTGATTATCTTTTGAGATTGTTTCCCCCATTTTATCAAAAAAACCCAAAAAATAAGAAAATATAAAATACCAAAAATATTTACTTTTACCCCCCCCCCCCCTTTGCGTTATGTTCCAGTTATATTATAAGTTCTTTGTTTATATAAATTATAGTTATAAGTTTTATACGTCTTATCATATGTGTAGTAGTTTTTTTATTTTATTTAGTGACAACGTGTTTGCATACTAAATTGGTTTTAAAAAGTACAAACTTTCTTGTCCTAGCTATAGTTTTTGTTTGATTATATCTTCGGGGTTAGTTAAGGATATTTTATAAATTTTTAATTTGTTTTGGACCGCACTGCAACACCAATACTCAACCAAAAATTCGTTTACCAGGAATATCATAATACTAATTTATTAAAACATAATATCGGGCACTATAAACCACGCATCGCGTGGAGAAATGCTAGTATGTATGTGTGTGTGTGTGTGTGTGTGTGTGTGTGTGTGTGTGTGTGTGTGTGTGTGTGTGTGTATATTAATCGGCACATATATATATATAATATATATAACCGAATATTTATATATATAATATTACATTCCAAAATATTTTATTTTACTATTTTTACAAATATACAAATTACTTATTATCCCATTGTTTAATCTCACTCCTTAAATTGTTCAAAGTGTGTGACCCGTATAGGCACTTATAAAGCTGGCCACAGTATTGGCTCTGCACCGATACTATAAGCAATAAGCGGTATCTAGCAACACATTATTGCCCCCAGATTATAAGTTAAGACGTTTGCACCGTCAAAACCTTTCCACGACTCAGACTCCGTGAAACTATATCCCTTTGTCTCAATGTCTAAACTTAATGCAAGGGATTAAAAAAATCCAGCTTGTATCCATTAAGTCATTCACTGATTTATCAAGTCTGACTAATAGTTACACCCGTGGTCGCGCTAAAGATGCTTAGAGCATGAACTAAAAGTTCAAGCAACATCTTTAGGATGGGTCAGTCCGTCATCCTATTATCTCTAGATAATATCTGCCCAAGTGCGGATGCGAACACACCGTCATTGACTATGAGACTAAGTCAAACATCCAACACACACTAGTCTCACATGCATTAACGATATCCCACTCTCGTTAATACTCGACTATGGACATTTAGATAAATATTTATTTCAAGATGTTAGTCTCATCAGCAGAAGAACACTATCTGATAAACATCTTTTAAATGTAAATCTAGGAATATAATATTTGTTTACATTAGCATGAGATGTGTAAACATATTATATCTGCCTATACATGATAGAATAACGATAAACAGTTGGCCATCAGGGCACAACTCCAACAGAATGCACTTTAACATGTTAAAGTTCCGGCGGGCCGAGAACAACGGATAGAGTGTCGGGTAAAATTAACCACTTGCACTTAAAGTCGGGATCCACAATTCTAACCCAAAAGCTTAAGCTAATAGGTAGGGCTTCACCCTTTAATATATGCAAGTGATACTCATCTTTATTTTCCGATGTGGGAACTCTTACACTCCCCCGCAAGTGGTAACTAGCCTGGCCTAGTTAGCACTTGGACAAACGGATCTAGCATCTCAATCTCTTATAGCTAGCCCACACAACGGGCGGTGGCATCTCAATCTCATTTTAGCCAACTCAGCCCAAACCACAGACGGGGTAGCTCATTTTTGCTAAACCCACATCAAAACAACCAGGAACAATCAAACTCGGACCGGACCTGCTCTGATACCATGTTAAGGAACCAATTCAACCAAAAGCTCAAGCTTGTGGTTGTGGTCCAGGAACAGTTATTTATATTTTAACACGCCCCCTCACGTGCAGGCGTAGTCTTTTTCGAGCCTTGCACGTGAAACCTTAATTTTTTTTAAAATAGGGTGGCGCTGAGTTTCGAACCCGTGACCTCTTCGTCATTAAGGCTCCGATACCATGTTAAAATTCCGGCGGGCCGAGAACAATGGATAGAGTGTCGGGTAAAATTAACCACTTGCACATAAAGTCGGGATCCACAATTCTAATCCAAAAGCTTAAGCTAATAGGTAGGGTTTCACCCTTCAATATATGCAAGTGATACTCATCTTTATTTTCCGATGTGGAAACTCCAACACTAATTTTGTTTTTGAGAGCAGATGTATGCATGGTGATTCCTCACAAGATGATCATGACACTTTTGGTGAAAATGCTACTTTTCACATTAATATTGTTGCCTGGAGTGGCAAGTGAATGTGACCGAGAATATATTATATTGTAAGTGTTATGGATTGTGCCACGAAGTCAATGCGGCACGATTTGGTGTGGATGATGGAATTTGTTAATAGATGCATGCAGCACATTCTGTTATCGTATCGTAAATCCTGAATGTCGTTTGATTTTCTTTGATTGCCCATGTGCTATTAGTGACCCATACTGTGCATAATGTAGAACTAGTAATCAAAGCCATATGAATTTAATTAAGTTATAATGAGTTATTGATCTAGAGAGATATTTAAGAATATGTGAATTGAATATATATTCAAAATATGAAAATAATGCATCAGTACGTTTTCTAAATATTACTACAACATTCTATATTTGAATAATCTATATATTGAATATATGCATTATTTGATTCATATATTCTATATGAACCGAATATATATATTGAAAATATGAAAATATACTATCTTCTTATTATGGCTTCCCCCTCCCGGCCCCTGGCCCCATTTTTTAACTAATGTAACTCAAACACTAACTTCTACAAATACAAACTCCCTCTATCTAAGAATAATCTTTCCATTGCGGGTTATGGTATTTGACTTATATTTTTCAAATCATTTTATATAAAAAATATTGTGAAATTAAAAAATAAAAATTACATATTTAAAAACTTCAACAAAAGATATAGAAGTAACATAACTATATTATTTTATCAAATAGGCATAAAAAATAGATCAATAACGTGGATACAATTTGACACTAAAAATAATGGACGGGAAAATTATTTTTGGTCGGAGTAATTATTCTAGAGTTTGTAATTTATTTTGCTTCTCACATTATATTGTGTCCATTCAATAGATTCTTCCACATAGAGGTTCTTCTTTTTATGGATCTTATCATTTCTATTTTTCTAGATAATGTAGTCGCTTTTTAATATTTACTGTTTAAAATTAAAAAGTTGATTGCAAAATTTAAAGGATACTCTCTCTGTTCGTTACATCTTGTTTTATAAAACTTTTGACATAATTTTTAATAAGTAATTTTTATTTATTATTGATGTACCAATTTCTAAATAAAATAATTTCAAAAGTTGTAGTATTTTATCTCATAATTCTCATCTTGTAATTAAAATTAGGACAAAGGGAGTAGAAAAATATGGAATGGAGAGAGTTTTTCTTTGCTCCGTCCTTTCAATTTCTTTCTTGATCTAATCTGATTTTAGTAAGAATAAGTAATAAATAGAAAAATAAGTCCTACGTACAAAACGGGCTCTTAATAGAGGAAAAAAAATAAATCGGTACAGTGAGGAAGACAAAAGGTAAATTGAGAAGATAAAAAAATAAAATGATGAACAAATTATCAAATTGTAACATAGTATCAAAGATACCGTCTTACCACACCTATCACGTTATATCTATTCATTAGTAATCTACACTTTATATCCTAGTTTTGTACTCCCTCCGTTCCACAAAACCCTTTCCCTTTAGTTTTTTTCTTGAATTCCCTAAAACACTTTCACTTTCTATTAAAAAACTACTTTTACCCTTACTTTTTCATACCCTACCTATTACATCATACTTTTTCACTAGTAACCAAACTATCACATCTTACTTTTACCCATCACATCAGGGACAAAATTGGAAAGTCAACCAAAATTACAATTTCTTTATTTTTGCTCAAAGTCAAAAGTAGAACGGTTTAAAGGAACGGTCAACGGAGGGAGAATATCATATCAAAAGAAATTTGGAAAGTCAACACAAAAATATTTTTTTCCTAAACTATATGTTTCCATGAGATAAGAAAATGATGAGAAAGAAAATGGTAAGAAGAAAAATGATGAGAAAATGGGAGAAGAATAATTGTTGTTTAGATGACAAGAAAAATATGATAAAAGTGAAAGGAAAAAAAATATTTTAATATAAATTGTCTTTGATATTATTTTTTAATTGATCTCTTCCTCTCTTTTCTCTCTTTCTTTCTCAATGCAAACATGAAACTATTTCTTGAAAATTATGTTTTCTCAATCCTTCGTTATTTTTTCCTATCATTTTTCTTACATCCAAAGAATAGCTAAATCTAGGAAAAAAAGTTTTTTTCCTTCCCTATGATTAGGGCTTGCGATTCCTTCCCTATCATTAGGGTTTACGGCCAAATCCAAGATCTTGCACAGATTTCAGTACCTTCCATTCTTTAATTCACTTCTTTGTGGGTTTGCGGCGACGGCTTTGTAGCAGTGGTGGAGCTTGTCCGATTTCTGTACCTCTCCAATCGAGTCGCGATGAATAATCAAGGATTGAATGGTATCCAAGCCGATATGGAATAGTTGGACCTAAATGATGAGGAGATTGGGATCTCGTTTGGATTGGACGGGGACCTGGTTCTACAAGAGGTTCTGGACGAATCATTTACCTTGGTTGGAAGACTTTTGACGGATAAACCATACAAATGCAGATTAATCAGGGGGAGAATATATGGCTTGATTTGGTTCCGCTTCGTTCATCGAATTAAATAGACGCTGAGCGTATTTTGTCTGAAGGACCGTGGGCCTTTGATAATGCAACGCTTCTTTGTTGTGCCCCTGTTCCAGGTGATGAGGTAAGGGCTTCACACCTAAATTGGCACACCTGAATTGGCTGGAAGTTTGGGTTCAGGTACACGGTTTACCTTATGGCTACACGAGCAATGCGGTACTGGAGGCGATTGGTAGTTTCTTAGGGGTCTTTGTGAAATTGGATGAAAAGAACGCTACTCACATCCCGCAGAGCTTCCGACGAATCCGGGTGAGAGTTGATCTGCATCGCCCATCGAAGAGGAAAATGAAGTTGACTAAAAACGATAACACAGTCTCGTGGGTCGAATTCAAGTATCAAAGACTTGGAAATTTCTGCTATTTTTGTGGTATCCCGGGGCATCTTCATAAGCATTGTGCAGCAGCTGTGAAGTCGGACATTCCGATTGAGCTTTGGCCTTACAGTGATGAACTTAGAGCTGGGCGTAAAAAAAGTTGCGGAGATAGGTGCACGGTGGTTGCGCAATGACAAGGAAAGTTGGGGGGGCCGAGCGAGGAAGATTTCCTCGAGTGGCACTACCGTACAAAATGGTGAAGAAGTTCAAGGTTTAACAACCATGCAGAAGAGAAGGGCTAACCAAGAAAAGATCGTGGAGGTGAATGCCTTAGTGCCGGAGAATACACATATGTTACCAACGGCGGATCTTGGTCTCCAGGCCTGTCGAGACCAATGAGTCTCCTAAGTTGGAACTGCCGCGGGTTGGGCAACTGTCGGGCAGTGCAAGAACTGGTAGATTTGGTATCTACTAAAAGGCCCCACTTGGTCTTTCTCATGGAGACTAAGTGTGTTAGGAAGAGAGTAGAGGATCTTAAAAATAAGTTGGGGTTTGACTCTTTGTTTGTAGTTGATAGCTCTGGAAGAAGTGGCAGACTTGCTCTTTTCTAGAATAGAGAGTGCAAAGTGAGTTTGATATCTTACTCAAGGAATCATGTTGATGTCAATGTGATGAACGAAGGAAATGGGTCATGGAGATTTACAGGCTTTTATGGTTGAAAAAACCTTGAGGGAGATGTTGGAATGGGAGGATTGCTATCGGAGACAATGTGCCAAACACTTTTGGGTCTCGTGTGGTGATCGGAACACAAGTTTTTCACAATTATACTTCACATTCGAAGAGGAGGAACCGCATATTACGACTTTGTGACGGTATGGGAGGTTGGTGTGAAGGGGGAAGGCTGCTGCCCTTTGTTTATAATTATTTTACAGATTTTTTCAGAGATAATAATAGGAGGGGACCTCACAACCCTATGGACATGTGGTGTGCAAAGGTGGATCATGCACGTGTTCGGGAGGATTAAAATGCTGAGCTCCAGTGCCCATTTACTCGACAGGAGATCAAGGAGGCACTTTTTTCCATGCATCCGGACAAATCCCTAGGACCCGATGGGCTCAACCCAGCTTTCTTCCAAAACTGTTGGAAAGAGGTGGTCCAGAGCTATCTAACTTTGTATTTGATTATCTTCGCAGGAAGGTTATCCTAGAAGGCCTTCGAGATGCTACTCTTATTCTGATTCCTAAAAAGCACTGCCTTGAAAATGTGGGAGATCTCAGGCCAATAGCTCTTTGCAACGTAATCTATAAGATAATTGCAAAGATCTTGGCGAACAGAATGAAGCCTGTACTGCAGAGTTTGATCTCGGATAATGAGTCAGCGTTCTTACCTGGGAGACTCATATCTGACAACATCCTCCTTGCTACGAAAATAGGTCATTATCTTTGAAGGAAACAAGTAGGCAAAGTTGGATGGTAGGGCGGAAGCTTGACATGGCCAAAGCATATGACAGGGTGTCCTAGATTTTTGTGGAGACCATGATGCGTACGATGGGTTTTAGCGAAGCTTGGATCCAACTCATAATGATGTGTGTGAAATCGGTTAGATATCGGGTTCTTGTCAATGGAGCTCTCAGTGAAGTTATCTCTCCGATGTGAGGTCTAAGACAAAAGGATCCATTGAGTCCTTATCTTTTTCTGATATGTGCGGAAGGACTTTCACTGTTACTTAAGAAGGCGGAGGCAGAAAGGAGGATTCATGGGGTTAGGGTGGCCAATGTAGCCCCCTATTTCACATTTGTTTTTTCCAGATGATAGCCTACTCCTTTTTAAAGCATCCATGAAGCAATGTTTGGAGGAATATGAGTTAGCCTCGGGACAACAAGTGAACTTCTGTAAGTCAACGGTCTGCTTTAGCCTTAATACTTTCCATGAAGTTAAAGAGGAAATTAGCCGTTGGTGTTACTCCGGAAGATGACTTTGGGAATTATTTAGGTCTTCCTTCATGCATTGGTAGAAATAAAAACATGGTCTTTTCTTTTATTCTAGACAACATCTGCCATCGTACTTGTGGATGAATAAACGTTTACTCTCGAAAGCCGGAAAGGAGATCTTACTAAAAACAGTGGCCCAAGCAATGCAACAATATGCTATGAGTGTGTTCCTCCTGCCCATTGGGGCCTGAATCATATAGTTTCTATTCCGGGTTCTTATCGAGATTGGGCAGTCTCCTCTATCAAAATAGTAAGAGAAAGAGAAGGGTGGACGTTTTCTAGGATCATAAGGAACCGACCAATCTCGTGCTTTGTGCAATAGCTCTAGTTTGGAGACCCAATTCTTTTGGTGGCAAAATAGTGGCGATGCTTCCTCTAATATTCATTGGTTGTCGTGGAGGCGTTTGACAAGTCCAAAAAAGTTCGGTGGGCTTGGTTTTAAAGATATCCATGACTTTAATTTTGTCATGTTGGGAAAGCAAGGGTGGAGATTATTAACAAATCCGGGGTCATTAACAGCTAAGATTTTCAGGGCAAGATACTTTCCGAAGACGTCTTTTTTTAGAGGCGAAGATTGGCCCCAACCCAAGCTTTGTTTGGAGGAGTATTTTGGAGGCCCAAACTCTCATTAAAGATGCAGGCAGAAAAAGAATTAGGAATGGGGGTGAGACCCTTGTTTGGAACCACACATGGTTATGTGATGAATCGAGCCTGTCTATTTCTACTCCCTGACCAGATTTTTGCCCTTATTTTCCAGTCTCGCTCCTCATTGATCACTCCACTAACACTTGGAAATTGGATATGTTGCAGCACTAGTTTTCTAAAGATAATAGAGCCCGGATTCTTCAAGTCCCAATGTCGTCAGCGCTTACGGACCAATGGTACTGGGCATTGCATTCGTCTATGGATTACACTGTTAAAAGTGCATACCAGAAGCTTACTGGGGAGGCATCAGACATGTCCATTTTTGACCATTATAGCAGGTTATGGAAGCTGAATGTGGCTCCTAAAATAAAGGTTTGTTTTTGGAGGGCTTTTCATGATATATTACTGGTTGCATGTTTGCTGGAGAGTAAAGGAATACAATTAGATACTCTGTGTCGTAGCTGTGGTTCTGCTGAGGAGAGTGTTACTCATGTTTTCATGGCCTGCCCGGTCGCGCAGAGACTGTGGCGGGTGCTGGGAGTCAAGGTTGTGAATAATCATGGCTATTGTTTTGATTCGCTACTGCATTGGACATATTTTAACTTTTGCAGTAGGACCGGAAGGGAAATGGACTGCGTGGAGGCGGGGATCTTGGCACTATGCAAGGCGAGGAACATGGCCAATTGGGAGAGTAAGCTGCCAACCGTGAGTATCATCAAGGCTTGGACCAGAGAGGTTTTGGCCTCAACGCCATCAAACTGTTCGGGGTTTAAGGCACCTGTGGCGGAGTCTAGAATCAGTGGCATTACGTGCTCGGTGGATGCAACGGTGTTCGAGAATGTTCGGCGGGTGGGAGTCGCTGCAATCCTTCGAGGTGAAGATAACTCTTTTATTGGAGCTTTCAACTCTTGCATTAACTGTCCTTTATAGCCACGAATTGCGGAAACCATGATGATTAAAGAGGCTCTGTCTTGGATTTATGAGCATGGCTTCTCGGAGGTTAGTGTTTTGTCTGATTGTGTCCCGTTGATTAAAGCACTCAATAATCCATCGAGTAGAAACACCTTGTATTTGGGTGACGCTGAGGATGAATGTAGATCTTTCGCTAGCTCTTTTTTTATTTCTTTGAGATTTTTTTACATTCCTAGAACCTCGAGTGGTGGAACTCTCCCCCTGACTTTGTTTCTCATTTGATTTGATAAATGAAAGTGTCTTTTACCTCAAAAAAATCTCATAAAAATTAAAAGAAGAAAACTTTTGTGGGTCAGGGAAAACAAATTTTAAAACAAAAGTAACACAAACACCATAAACTTTCTATATTGTTAGACAATAATATTAATATTACTTCTTGTAGTAATAGTTATGGGTAATTACTTAAATAGGACTAAAACATAATGACTTTCTCAATATAGGACCATATGTTTTTAATTTCCAATGTAGAACCATTAGTGATTATTTATTAGTCATTATTCGATTAAATGTCTAGCATCATTTGGACATTATTCTTCTCATTAGTCATTATTAAGTCCTATTTACGGAATAAAAAAGTTTAAGTCCTACATTGGGAAATGACTTATGTTTTAGTCCTATTCACTGCAAATTTCACTATTAGTTATGGTAGTGCTTGATTATTAGTCGGCTTCTTATTCCTATTTGTGGTAGATGTTGTGTGTTAGTTAGTTTCCATTCTCTATTCCTAGTTCTCTTAGGAGTTCTCCTTGTATATACTTTATCATGTATTTCATAATTCAAGGAGCAATATTATTATTTCAACATATATATTACGAACCTTATTAAATGAATCAAATACTTTCAAATAATTAAAAAGTAAAAAATTTAAGTTTAAAAATAGTAATTCTGTGAAATACCCTGGCATTATTTGTATTTGTGACTCTAGTTAGGTCCTGTTTGATATCAGCGTTAGAAGTTAGCATTAGCACTTCGAAAATATTACCTGATGGTCGCATTTAGTGTAAGCCTTTTGCCGTTTTCATAAATTAAGCTACACTATTAAAATTTTATCTAAAATTTTAACGCTAAGAAATAATCCCTACGTTTCATAAAACACTTCCTCACTCATTTTTTTTATTTTTCCCAAAACCCTTCCACAAAATTCTTAAAAAAACTACCTCTACCTTTATTTTTTCTTATCGTACCTATCATATCATACTTTTTTCACTAATAATCTATCAATCACATCTTACTTTTATCCATAACATCAATGACAAATTTGCAAAGTCAACCATAAATATACACTTCTTAGGCAATGGGGTGTTCCCAATGGCTTCCCCTTCTTCTAACTCTGCGTCACGTCAGCTTTTATTTTTCTTTCCATTTCCCTTTCTCTTTCAGGGAAATGTCTTCCTCTTTTCCCCTTCACTTTTTACTTTTATTTTATATAACACTTATTTTAATTTATATAATTAAGATTTATATTTTTATACCTTTCCGGTCTCGTTGCAACATTGGTTTTCTTTTTCTTGACGCCAAAGTATAGTAGTACCGATTTCGGCATAATAGGATAAAGTTTTTACTGACTCCATGATAACGTTTATGAAAAAAATTCAGCATCATCATAAGATGACGAGGTAGAAGAATTCGACATCGAATCTGATGAATGAGACGACTTTGTGGCGAGAAATATTTAAAAGAAATATGAAAAGTAGAGAAATATTGTTTAAAACAAATGCATGGGAAGTGTAAAAATATGAGTTGAGTGTTGTGTTTAATTAGAGAGAATTTTGAAATTTTTTAAAATTTTTTAGATATCTAGCGGCAAATTTTCAAAAAAGAAATAACAGTAGATTGTTGCCAACGGAAAAAGCTGGGAGGGAACCCCGCCTTTCCCATTCCTGCTGAGGGGGCGGTGTTCCCGTCTAAACCCCGCCCTTCCTCTTCCTTTCCCACTCAGCACACCTGACGGCCTTATTTATTTCTCCTAAAAGTCAAAAAAGGAACTATTTTATGAAATGGATAGAGTAATATTGTTCTCAAACAAAGCTTTAGTCTAGTATTTCTCCAAAAACAAATCGGGTCCTAATGGTCATCAATTCGTTATATATTAATGTAGAATTAATTTTTAATTTTAAGTTATAAGAATATAAATGTTTGAAGTGTTATTCCTATATATATATATATATATATATATATATATATATATATATATATATATATATATATATATATATATATATATATATATATATATATATATATATATATATATATATATATATATATATATATATATGCGTGTGTGTGTGTGCGCGCATATATACATCAACAAAATATTGATTCATAGATTAATTTTGTGTAAATTTGGTAACTTCAAGATTTCTATTTTTCATTAGGAAATTTTGAATTGCTCTCCAAACACTTTAATATATTCTTCAACCACGAGTGATTATAAGGTAATGTCGTGATTATTGCTTTGATTATAATGCAAAGCATATACATTACATTTAAAAAAATTCAAGGATAATAAAAACTTAGTCATCTATTGTAATATTTCCTTCATTTCAAAAAATAAAAAAATCACTTGCTTTCTTTGTTGATTTGTCCTAAACAAAAATATCAATCTTTTTCTAGAGAAAACATTAAATAGTAGCATTATTCATTTTTTATCTTCATTATGTGAAAATTTTCAATTGAGGATTTATTGAACATACATTCAAAATGAAGCATAATTTTGTTTTTGAGAGCAGATGTATGTTGATTCCTCACAAGATGATCATGACGGTTTTGGTGAAAATGTTACTTTTTAAAGTAATATTGTTGCATGGAGTGGTAAGTGAATGTGACCGGTAAATATATTGCAAGTGTTATGGATTGTGCTACGAAGTCAATGCATTATGATTCCATGGTTTGGGCGATCCAATTGACTTAGTAGAAGCATGCGGCACATTCTGTGATATTATAGTAAATCCTGAATGTAATTCTATTTCCAAAGATTGCCCATGTGATGTAGGTGACCTATACTGCCCATAATGTAGAGCTAGTAATGAAAACCATATAAATTTACGTTACGATGAATTGTTGATCTATAGAGATATTTATGAGTATGTGAATCGAATATATATTCAGAATATTAAAATAATGCGTCAATACGTTTTCTCTGAATATTAATTACTATGATGTTCCATATATGAATAATCAATATATTGAATATTTGCATTCGATTCATATATTCTATGAATCTAATATATATTCAAAATATAAAAATAATTCATCTTGTAAGTCAAACACCAACTTCTACCAATACATATTCTTGAGCTTGTAATTTATATAACTTCTCACGTGATATTGTCCATTCAATGAATTCCTCCACATTGAGGTTCTTCTTTTTGCGGATCATATCATTTCTATTTTTCTAAATAATGTAGTGATTTTCTCCGTCCATTTTCTCTCTTCTTTTCTCGATAACTTTTGTCTATTTGTGTGTTCTCATTAATTATTTAATAAAATACAATATTCTTGTCACATCTTGCTTTGTAAAACTTTTGTCATACTTTTTTAATAAATAATCTGTATTTTTATTAATGTATCATTTTGTAAATAAAATAATTTCAAAAGTCGTAAAATTTTATCTCATCATTCCTCATTTGTAATTAAAATTAGAACGGAATGAGTAGAAAAATATGTAATGGAGAGAGTTTTTCTTTGTTCAGTCCTTTCAATTTCTTTCTTTTGCCCAATATCCATTTAATAACTTAAGCCAAGAATGGAAAGCGGCATAGAGAAAAGTAGAGAATGGAAAGAAATAATCACATCATCCAAAAGAATGGCACATTGGTCAAATATGTGTTTGGTGTCTGTGTCATCAATCTATATAGGCATGTGTGGTTAATTATTGCAGGTTTAAAGCTCCCACGAATAAGGTTACAAAAAGATTTCTATGGTTTCTTTTTTTACAAAATTATGATAATCTTTGACTTGACTGCAAATTACATAAAAAGTATATTTAACTATAATATAAATTTAATAAAATTGAATTTGTTTTAAAATACTCCGTATAATTTAAAATATTAAATTTCCCAATCAACACATAATTTATCGTAAAAAATGTATAGGTATATGTCGATCGAATGATGATGTCATGTATTGTCTAGACCGACAAAATAGGTTGACTAATTAGATTAGTTTATCGAAAAACATATTTCGACTTTAATTATGTCGACCCTTTGTGCATATGTTCTGATTTTGTCTCCATGTTTTGATCTCTGCCGGCAATGTTTAATTATCCACTCCTTCCTGTAACAATTAGATGAATGTGTACTTACGTGGAAAGAGAATTTCACCGACGAGCGACAATAAAAGAAACACAGCGAACAATGAGAGGCGCAATCGCGCAGAGTAGTGTGATGGCGAACATCGGGGAACAAACGGCGAAACGGCGAACGATTAGAGGCGACAGAGTATGCAATCGATAGGAATAGAAAATGATGAAAATGGTGCGTCGCCAAAACAAGAATAACGAATATCTTTGCTAGGGTAGAGACGCTCTGCTGCCGCAATGGTTTGATAACGAAAACCTAGCGATAACAGATTAGGGAGAAGGATAAGAGAGTAGTTTCACTTTGATTAAAAGGGTAGGCTAACAAATACGACAAATACGATCGGTTTTAGGATAAAATGATAAAAAATTCTTCCGTTTATAGGACATTTTAAAAAAATACCTAATTTGTCAATAGCATGCAAAATTGTCTTATGTCATATCGTGACATTAGTTTTTGATGTAAGAGATCCTTGCCCATTAATTTTTTGAATTTCAAATGTATTATAAATTTTCATACAATAAATAAATGTATCGAATGCATGGTTCTTTAAAGGTTTCTTTGCACATTTCTTGTGTGAGAAGTCGCAGGTTTGACCCTCATCAAATGTATTATCGAGTACAATTGGGGAAATTCTATGGAATTAACCTAGAATATACCAAAATCAGACACTCGTTTTTACACCAAGCTTTCACAGACACACATAGATACTAAGATACGCAATGTCTAACACATAATGTGTGAACATGCACCATTGTGTGTCTATGTAAACTTAGTGTGCAAGTGAGATATCTTATCTTTGATGTAATGGTAGCATTGTCCCATTTTATTTCATTCAGTTCCTACCACTTGAAAATTGTTTGTACACAAACTTTGGAAATACAAATTAAAATATGGAAACGAAATACTCCCTTCGTCCCAATTTATAGTGTCTGTTTCGGTTTACGATATTTGACTAAAATTATTTTCAAATTATTTTCAAATCATTTTATATGACAAACGGTATAGAGTTAAAAAATAAAAATTACATATTAAAATACTACATCAAAAGATCTACAAAACTAGTAGTGACAATAGTATTTTATTTTATCAAATTGCTAACAAAAATAGATAAAGAAAGCGAATGAAATTTGACTCTGTGAATAATAAATAGGCACTATAAATTGGGACGGAAGAAGTACAAAATAAGGTATTGACATTACACATCTAATTTTGGGGGTGAGCAAGTATCGAACCTATACCAAAATTTCTCCAAAAAACTGAAATTTCTGAACTAAAAAATACCGAACCGATCCGCCATCTCCATATCCTGAACAATTGTCCGGTGATTCCACCCGCTCGCCTCCTCAATGTCAAAAAATCTCTGCCTATATAAATAATTCATACAGTAAATGAATTCATCTAATAATCTTTCTATTCCATTCATGACCCAATTTTTCATATTAATTCAAGACATCTTTTTATGATCAACCATCAAAACACATTATTTTGATGAAAAAGAATAAAATATTTATTAGTTTGATGATTAAAATAGTACAAGAACGTATTAAATATGAGTAAAAGATAAGTATGAAACGGACTTATCAATAGTACATACTCCAATATACAGAGTAATATATACTCCCTTCGTCCCTAAAATAATTATCTGTTTACTATTACGGTCTCCGAATAAATCTTATTTGTTTGCCTTTTTTCGCATTCATTGATCATTTAATAAAAATACTCATATCACATCTTATTTTGTAAAGTTTTCGTTGTAGTTTTTAAAAATAATTTTTTTTATTATTTCTTTACTAATTTATAAATAGAATCATTTTAAAAATCACATAATTTTGCATGTTAATCAAAGAAGGGAATTTTTAAGGATGGAGTGAGTATAAAATAAAACCCCATATGTTCCATGAAAGTTCTTCTATACCAAAATAATTTAGTCCGTATGTAGGCCTTATTCTTTTGAATTGAAATTTCAAAACTGAATGTTGGGAGAAACAAGAAAAAACTAGAAAAGAACCAAAAGAGTTAAAAAAAATGTTAAAAGACTTCAAATGTTAAAAAAATACTCAATTAAAGAATCATTCAAAAATATATATGTAAAAAATTGAAATGTGCATCGTTTGTCCACGAACATCTTTTATCCACCGTTTATCCATGAAATATAATAATGGGAGTATGTACACTGCACATCCTTTCCATTAATATAATATTTCATACTCGGATCACCAAAACTTGACACATGGAATGCCTACGTGGAGTTTTTTTGACATGTCAATGATGACTGTATGCATTCATTGAGGCTTTGTTTGGGGACAGCGTTTTCGATTAGCCTTAGCATTTTGGATAAAATTTTAATGGTGTAGATTAATTCCGAAAACGCTAACTCTAAAGGCTACCGTCGGATAGCCTTTTCAAAACGTTAACGCTAATAGCTAACGCTGATGCCAAACGGGGCCTGAATTTAAAATCATTCAAAAGAAGTCTTCGTATATGGTAACTTTTGAATAAAAATTGACCATTTTTAGAAAATAATTTATGGTAACTTTTAAAACTTGATATTTATATATTTGATAAGTTTACACTAATTTATTTGATATTACAAAAAAATTACTTTCTTTAAATTCGTTTGACATATATTTCATCTATTTGACTATTTTAACCTCTTTTTACTTCTTTAATATGCTCACAATTTTTGTCAATATCATATTTGAAATTATTTTGTGGCCTGTATTAATTTATTCTTTTTTAATAGAATTTATTATTATATTGTTAATGCATATTTAAATTTGTAACTTATAAAAGTAAAGAGGCACCAAACGTTATTTCAAAAAAGTATGATGTATGTATGTATGTATGTATGTACACACACATACATATACATATATATATACCCATTAGACATCAATACAATATTGTCGGATTAGATCGATTATGGCCCTGTTTGGCATCAGCGTCAGAGATTAGCGTTAGAGTTTTGAAAAAGCTATCCGACGGTAGCCTTTAGCGTTAGCGTTTTCAGAATTAATCTGCACCGTTAAAATTTTATCCAAAACGCTAACGCTAATCGAAAACGTTGTTACCAAACAAAGCCTATATAAATAATTAATAGAGAAAATATCTTGTTCAAAAAAAATTCTCAAAAGATCCTCGGAATTAACGCTTTCAATTTATACACCATGGGGAACTGCAAACAAAGGTTGTTATTATTATTGTTTTAATTCTATAATTATTTCTTAATTTTTTCATACTGATTTGTCAACCATAGGGGAGGGAAGGAGGATAAAGAGGTTATGAGAATGTGCCCTTTTTTAGAGCTCAAAAGAATATTTCTAGTTGGTCTTTCTCATCATGTATATATTCCATCCCTCTAAAAATATTTTTATTTTATTTTTGGGACGTGAAAAAAACTTGTTTTATAGAAAAATTTAATTTTGGGTAAATTGTAATCTTTCTTTCTTCTGCATCACTTTAGTCATATATTTTTATTTTTCTTAAACTTAATGTCAAGTTAAATTGAGATTTTTTTAGGACAAAGAAGTACTATTCACAAAGCTAATTT